AGAGTAGTCAAGACTCACCTAGATTTAAATAGTTAGAATATTGTTAATAGGTATGCTATATCTAATCCACATAGTAGTCCAGATATTAAATTTGGTAAATGCTTGTTCTAGAGGAGGACAAGTATTAGATTCAGAATGTAGTTGATTAGCAAAGCTACAAGAGTGGTTATAAGTATATTAGTTTTGTTTCTTTTATGTGAAGAGAGCCTGGATAGATTATATATTGTATTAGAGATAGATTGAGGAGGAATTTGATGTGCTTTTTTCCAGTGAGAAAGTTAATACAGTAGAAAATCCATATTTTGTGATATAATTGGTCAGAAATTTTGAGAAATATTTGTATAATAAGTTGAGAGGCATTAGAGTATAAGATGTCAAAGGAGTCTAAGGCATGAATTAGTGGTATTGGTATAAGACCTTTAAGTGTAGAATGAAGAGAGTAAGGGTAAAGAGATGAGGGTGAAGAAATAAAAGAAGAATGTAAAGAGATAGTGTGTATGAGGTTATAAAGTTGGTGTGTAGAAAGATTGAGATTGGAGTTAAGGATAATTTTCTGTATTGAGAAGTTAATAGTTTGAGTTAAAATAGTATTATTAGGGCAAGTGTACCAGTGAGAACAAAAATATCTGGCTGGTTGCAAGAGAAGCAATTATTAAGTGTAAAGATAAGAAAGTATATGAAGTAGAAATATGTATGTGTTGGCAGCATATTGAGAAACAATTTTATTTTGAAAGCTTTTAGTAGTTTAGTTTAGAGTTTGTAAGGTTGTGCATTTTTCAGATTGTACCAAATTTCTTTGCTAATAGTTCTATATACTTAACTTTTTAAAAAAATATATTAGAGAGCTTCTTTATAAGATAATGCAACCTAAAAAAGTCAAGATAAAAAATTACTTTAGGTTTATTAAATTTTTGCTATAGTGGATTTAGCTTTTGGCATTTTAAAAAAAAACTTCAACTATTTTTTTTTTACTTTATAAAAGTGCTTTATAGTTCTTTAATAAAATACTATCTCTTAAACTGTTTAAAATTTAGTGCAAATTTGCACTGAAATTTTTCAGTAGTCACTTATATTGCAACTATACAAAAAATATTAATATAAATAATATAAAACATTATAAAAAAGTATAAAAATGTAATTTTTTTGGTTTATTTATGTTCATGGTAACTAAAAAAGCAATCTGGGCATTGCTTATTAATACATAAAGGAACATTACACACTGTACACCACACATTACTTCGTGGTGAATTATTATTATGTTTTCCATGCTCGGTCATATATTGAAACTGACACCAAACACAAGACTCTCTATCTTCATGATACACTGCATAATGGCTTTGTGGATGTAATCGTTCAATGGGTAAATCAAAGTTTTTTGTTACATAAAATGGCCTTTTTTCTAAACTTTGATTTTTCAATTCTGATTGAATCATTGCACTTTTTTTTCGTGTATGTAATTTTTGGTTCATTTCTAATGATTCTTCTACTAAACTCCATACCAAATCTATTCTAAAATCTTTATATGTTATAACCAAGTTGAGTGCTTTTGAAATAAGGAAGGTATTAATATTACTAGTATCGAGAAGCCAAAAAAATAATGGTAACCAAGTGCGATGTACAGATACTTGTGTACCATAATAACCCCTTAATTGGTCAGCTACATCTACGCTGCCCATATGATAGTTGTAATCATCGATTATAGCAGGTATGGGGAGAACTTTTTTACTTGCATTACCAAACACACTACGTACTTTGTTAGCATTAGTACTAGTTGTTTGTGGTCATCATCTTTCTCTTTCTATTTGATTTTCTTCACCTAAAACTTCATGCATGGTTGTTAACATAGTAACTGGACCATTATCCATCCAAAACACAGCCAATACATCATCTACAATGGCTCCAGAGAGAGTATCCCATTCTATTTTTTAAGATTTTTTAATTTTTAAAAAAGCAGGAAATTTTGAGGTATTATTTCTTACTGTTCCACAGCTACCATACCCATTCTTTCGCATGTAACTAAACAAATTTACACTTGTAAAAAATTATCCATATAGATATCGAATGCTTTTTCTTTTGGAAGTTGAGATATTAGATGATACACATGCTAGCCGATCTTGTTAATATTCGGAATTGGATTAATTTCATTATTAGATTCAATACAAGAAGTAAAAATAAAACAGTACATATATCCTGAATTGCATAATAAAAGTATTTTATATCCCTCAGGCGTGGGCTTATTTTTAATTCATACTGTATGTCCACTTCTTCCTCTAAATCTAGCGATCATTTCGTCGATTGAAACTTGTAATTATGGTATATAAATAGATTTAGAAACTTCTCGAATGTGTATAGCTAAAGGTTCGACTTTCGAATACTATGGTAATTGTGATGTCTTTGTTCTAATTTTTGAAATATGAAGATAACATTTTATCTTTTTATTTTAAAAAAAAAAAAATTAAAATAAATTAAATAAAAATTTAAAATTAATTAAAAATAAAAAAAAATAAATAACATAACTTGTTCGAATTGAACTAATGTCATATATTTAATAATTTTATGTTGTGGATATTTCCAATTCGTCTTTCAATAGTCTTTCCTACTCGGCAATTTAAAAACACCCATGTAAATTACTAAAGCAAACTATATTAATAATTTTTCTGCTGTTAAAGAAACCCACTCACACCCTTTACCTGCCAATTTTGCTACAGAATAGTAGTTTGTATTTTTTACGATCATATCTAGCTGTAAATCAGAGAAAAAAAAATGAAAAATTGAATATGGTGTAACTTCACCAATGGAAAACTTATCAGATAATTTTATCTGAGAGGAATGATATGGTTTTGTATGTTGAAATTTTTGAAATAATGGCAGTGATGGTAAATTTGGAGAATGCGATACATGGTTTTTTTTTTTTTTTGTTCAGCTACTTTTATTATCTTTTTTTTTTTGTTTGTACATTTGTCATTTCATTTTTAGCTTCTTCATCAGTTTCACCTTCAAACTCATCTTCAAATTCATTTTCAGTATCATCATCCATCGGATCATCAACCTCAATTTCATCCTCAATTTTGGTAATAATTCGTGTAAATTCAAAGGTGTATGAATCATTGTCATCAATATTTTCACTCATAATTTCATCTAAAAAAATTGTGTAAAAAAAAATAAATAAATAAACTAATGCCAAATGCTAACGATAAATAAGTAGAAAAAATTTACGATTTAAATAAGGTAACCTAGATGATGATCGAACTTGAATGATCATAATTTCTGTAATATTCCTGTGCAATCAGGGCAATTTAATGAATTACTAAATGAGGAAAGCCAGGTTTTAATTTTAAACCTTAATTTTAAGGTAATACAAGTGCTATGTGAGTTACCAATCAAAATTTAAAATTTTAGTACAAATTTGTACAAGAAATGGTTTAAGGACAAAAACTCAACAGGCTTGATATTTAATGATTGGAATTAAATGATTTTGACACCATTCGATTCATCTCGATGAGACGGTTCGAATGATACCAAAATCGTTAAATTCGGATCACTAGGTCATAATATATTTGCAAAAAAACCAACTGTGCTACAGTTCTATATAGAAATTTTCTTGCACGACAACTAATCTTTTTTTTTTAATATCTCGTGACCTTTTGATCAGAATTTAATGATTTTGGTATCATTCGAACCGTCTCATCGAGACGAATTGAATGGTACCAAAATCATTAAATTCTATTTATTGAATCGCAAGATATTAATAAAAATAAAAGATTAAAAAAATTTCAGTACATATTTGTATGAGAAATGGTTTAAGAGATAACAAATAGTCCTTAAATACTGAAATTGCAATAGCCAACCTTCAAATTAGTAACCCTCAAATTTTAGATCTTTCAAATTAGCAACCTTCAAATTCAGAAATCATAGCCTTAAACATATGACTTCAACTCCCAAAAGTAATAAAGTATTAGATAAAAAAAAAAATGTATTTTAAAAGTATAATGGCTTTAAAAATTTTTTTTTTGCTTTTTTGCTTTAAAAAGGAGGTTTTTTACTAATCTTCTATTGATTTTTTTTAGATCTAAATTTATATTTATATGGGGAGAATCAGGCCATAATCATAATTGTTGGATAATACTATTATTAGACAAATTGTTTAATAACAGTAATTTGGCTCAACTAAACAAATAATTGTATAATATATGCCACTTCATAGTACGTATTAGCCAATCATTTGACCAGTTGAGCCAAATTGCTATTATTAAATAATTTTTGCCTAATAATTTATACTTATATTAGTAGCAAGCTTGACAATTTAGTATGTATTCATGATTATTTTGGTTTATTATTTTTTTTGCTAACTTTAAAATTAATATTTTGTAATTTTTTTTAGTTTTTGAATAATAAATTAGATTATTAAAATAGATTCTTACTTTATTTTCTCCATCTAAACAAGCTTTATATAAGAAGATCTAAGTTTATAATTAAAAAATTTTGCTAATTTTTTATTTTTAGTTTTTAATCTTTTTATTTTATCTTGCAAAGTACAAATAATGCTTAAAAAGACCACTAACTACAAATTAATTTGCTTTATTATGTAAATAAGGTGACGATATTTTATATTTTAATTTACCTTTAAAATATATATTATATTAATTAAATTCTCTATCTTAAAAATTTGATTATTTGGTAAGCTTTTTATTTGATCAATTAATACATTATATATATATATATTATAGTTTTTCATTATTTAGAATTGATTGAATCAATAGAGTTATGCATTTTTATTAATTTTTCTTGGTCTAGAGAATTAATAACTTTATAGATATTAGCATTTGGAAGATATATTGAATTAATATGTGTTTAAACTTTTATTAACTCCTTTTTGTTCAAGGAATCAACAATTTTATAAATAGTATAGTGTCATTTTTTAGCTTCACAGTCTTTTGTAATTTTTATAAACTTTTTTTTTTATTTGTTGGGTGAGTCATTTTTAACAAATTGAACTATGCTTGAATACAGAATTTTAAGTTTTAAATAAATATCTTTCTACTTTCAATATAATTATAGTGATCTCATCATTGAAAAATTTTTATCATGTAGAAATTAAATTATTATTAATTTATAATATTGTATGTTATAAGAATTCTTGGTAATTTTACAAGTATATTCGATCGGTACTTTATATATGGATTTAGAATTAATGATTAATCGCAATTCTTGATCATTTGTTAAATAATAGTAGCATCTTAAAATACCTTTTTGATTAATCGCAGTTCTTGCTCATTTGTTGATGTGTTACATAATAAATGATTTACTATCATAGTGCAGCACTATATGATTCGCCTACTAAGATTTTTGGTCAATTTATCAAAATGATTTATCTTAGTAATTTTATAATAAAATCCGAGTATTTTTAAAATGTTATAACTCCTGTTCTAGCAAAGCAAATTCAATTTATAACTTGCAAACGACATAAAACGATATAATTTTAAACCTATGTTGAGAGATTTTCTAATTTATTTGACCAATTTAACGAAAATTCCAAATTATTAAATTTTAATAGTAAAATCATCGTTATTTTAAAGTTTAGAACATAGAAACGCATTAAACATTCATATTGTTATTTATTACGTTAACATTGATTAAAAACAGCGTTATTTATACATCATTTACAAGTTACAGAACTAGAGTAGGAGTTATAACGTTTTAAAGAAATGAACATGTATATAATTATTATGTTTTCGAAAACATGTGTTGAAAGCATTATTTAATGTAAAGGCTTATGTATGCATATAAATGTGTTAAGCCATATTTAAAGTATTTGTATTTTTAATATAATCACATTAATACATGTGAACTTGTATTTGATAATCGAAAAGGTATTCTAAAATGCTACTATTATTTAACAAATGAGTGCAGTGTTTACGCGGTCAGTTAAAACAAAATCGGGATCATTTTGAGACGATATTGAAAAATTTACTAAATATCCTGTCGAATTTACATTGTTTGTGTTATAGTCTTGTAAATTAAATAACATAGAATATTGACGAGGCGAATTGAATAGTTCAAATGTACCGAATTAAATCTTATTATATACTAAATGCAAGTTCCTATATTTTACACAATATTTTATAAAACTCAGCAACATTGAACATTATTTAAGTCCAAGTTCTGACTAAATCAGGAACTATTTTACTAAATTTTGTATGGCAAGATTTTAGATTCATTCTCACGGCTACAGCCACGAGCGAAAACAAATATGTAATATATTTTTTAGCGTATAATTATAAAACATAACGTTGAATTATTTTGCAAGCCTAAAATACTTTTATAGCATACAATGTGAGAGTATCGCATTACTGCAAATCAATTTGAAGTCTACGTCTACTATAGGGATAATGTTAGATATTAGAATAAAACCACAGCGGTATTGTTACGAAGTGCTTCCCTTAATGCATTCCTACCCTCAGAACCAAGTGGATTATAGGAAAGATTTAAATAATTCAAAGTATTATTTTTATAAAGGATCTCTGCTAACGCTTTCCCGTCTTCAGAATTAAGTTGATTATAGGAAAGGTTTATAGAAATTAAAACATTATTTATATAAAGGGTCTTTGCTAGTTCTTTTCCAACTTCACAATAAAGCTTATTCCAGCCAAGATTTAATGAAGTCAGAGTTGTATTCTCACATAGGGCCTCTGTTAACGCTTTTGCACCCTCAGAGCCAAGTTCATTACAGTAAAGATTTAAAATAGTCAGAGCAGAATTCTTGCATAGAGCTTTCGCTAATGCTTTTCCACTTTTAGAACAAAGGTGATTCTCAGAAAGATCTAAAGAAGCAAGAGTTTTATTCTTGCATAGAGCCTCTGCTAACGATTTCCCACCCTCATAACCAAGTTCATTATGGTTAAGATTTAAAGATGTTAGAGTAGTATTCTTGCACAGTGCCTCTGATAATGCTTTCCCACCTTTAAAACCAAGTTTATTAGAAGAAAGATCCAAAGAAGTCAAGGAGGTATTTTTATAAAGAACCTCTGCTAATTCTTTCCCTGCTTGATAACCAAGTTGATTTTTGCAAAGATTTAAAGAAGTCAAAGCTGAATTTTTGCATAGAGCCTCTGCTAATGCGTTGCCACCTTCAAAACCAAGTTGATTATAGGAAATATCTAAAGATTTTAAAGTTGTATTTATATGAAGGGCCTCTGCTAATGCTTTCCCACCTTTAGACCTGAGCTGATTATAACAAAGATTCATAGAAGTCAGAGTCGAATTATTGCATAGAGCTTTCGCTAACGCTTTCCCACCTTCAGAACCAAGTTCATTATAGTAAAGATTTAAAGAAGTCATTGTAGTATTTATGTAAAGGGTTTCTGCTAATGCTTTTCCTCCTTCGCAACCAAGCATACTCCGACTAAGATTTAATGAAGTTATAGTGCTGTTTTTTTGAAGTGCTTTCGCTAATACTTTTCCTCCTTCTGAATAAAGGTAATTTCTAGAGAGATCTAAAGAAGTTAGGGTTGTATTGTTTACGCAGAGAGTTCTTGCTAACGCTTTAGCACCTTCAGGACCAAGTATATAGTTAATAAGGCTTAATGAGGTTAGAGTGAAGCTTTTGTGTAAAATATCAGTCAAAACTTTATATCCAAAATAGCAATTCGAAAATTTTAAGGAAATAATTGAAGTGTTTTTGCGAAGCCTTTCTACAAATATAGTTTCATTATAAATATTTCCAATAAAATTTAAATGTTTAAGTTTTTTACTAGATCTTAAAAACATTAGAGCCAAAGAACATTCAATAGCACTTCTTCGATTTAAGTGAACCTCATTATAATAATTTTCAACTCCTTTCGTTAAATAATTAAAGTCAACAGATGTAGTATGACTTGTATATTCAAATAATGGGTTTAAATTTTTTGGAAGTGTTATATTAAAAGGGATTAATAGAGCTTGTTCTTCAGCATTTAATGCTAAAAGACATATTTTTACAAGATTTTTATTATTAAAGTGAACACCTGGATCACTCCATAACAATGGTATAATAATTCTGCACCATTGACGGTTTACAAGAAGGCATGAAAATAAGCTTTTATGATATGTTTTAAAGTTGTTAAATATTTCATTGAGACATTCGTTCGGTAATGTCCTCATTTTTTTTTTTTTAAGGGTTAACGTTTAACGTTTATTGTTAAGGTTTAGTGTATTTATGTATATTGGGAAGTTGTGAACGTAATTGTAACTTGTCCTACGTTTCTGATTATCGCGGTTTGCAAA